TCGTCAAAAGATTTTCTAAGTCATAATTGTATTACCCCTGAAAATATACTATATGATATGCGCTATGTGCAATGGAAGAATGTGCATGTGTGTATATTAGAATCGTTCAGTCTTTCTGCTTGAAAATGTTATGTGATTTAATGCGCTATATTGCATTGTTCCTCGTTTGATATTTTTTCTCCTTTTACGACCGGTTTAAATGTTAAATGTTACTATGATATAGATAGCTAAAATGGTCAGATGTAAAATGGGGCAATTTTCAATATGACAGCATTGTTCAATGTATCGTTGTCAATTATGCTGGTGCTTTTAGTTTTAAAAGGAAATATAAGATGTTCTAACCATCGTGAATTTAATGTTGAAGAATTAAAAAATATGATTGATAATAAAGAATTGTATATGAATTTGAAAGTATTAGAGAGAAATATAATCACATCGTTACATTCTGATGAATTGAAAGTACCTATAGTAACACCTGAAAATGTCTCCTATCTGAAGGATATGTCTAATTTCAAAACAATAAAAATAAGCTCGGAGGATGGAATTAGCAACATATATATAATACCTCGTACCGATGCTAATGCAAATGATTTGATCCGATACGAGCATATAACAAAGGAGCAACTTATAAAATCATACACTTTGGAAAAGTCGGATTTAGTTAAGAAGAAGATTATAATTATACGGGCCCTAAAAATAATAAAGCTTATGTTGACCCCAATGATTTCGTACAGAAAAACACAAAATTTGAAGGAATCGCTCATGCGAATAAATGAAATATTCCATTACAACGATGATTTATTTAAAAATCACATTTCTAATACCTATAGTGACGAATATTTTAGACGCATCATAAATCACATTGAGGAATTAAAAAAATTTGACCCAAAGAACAACGCCTATGCGTCTACCATATTGAAAAATGCCACATTTAATGTAGAGCGTTCCAGTGAATTACTTTTTACCACCAATGACGATATTAGTTTTATGGAAAACTTGGATAAGATATCGAACAGCTACGGAATTTCTATGTACCATTTGGTGGGCTCCCATCTGATAGGTGCTGCTATTCTCTGCATGCGTAAATATTGAATAGTTTTTTTTTTTTCCTTTCAGTCAGTATTTACTTTTTTTTCCTTACTTCTTATTATTGCAGCGCTAGGATATTTTGTTGTGCTGAAACTAGCTCTCAAGAAATTTCAGAATTATTTCGTACAAGGAGAATTACGGTTTTTTAGCTGGCAGAAAATTTTACAATATAACATGTCAGATAGATTTAGGCTACTTGATGCGATGTGCGACGCCGATGGTGCTGTCTATTCAGACATGAAGCGAAGGAAAATATACCTGAAGAAAAACAGAAACTGTACATCGGAAGAGTGCGTCATACTGGAGTTCCTAATTCATCACTTTAACAAATACCAAATGGAGCTCATCACAAATATATACCAAGAGGACTTTAAGACGCAGGTACTACTAGAGCATAAACACATGAAGGATGATTTTTTTAGATTTATGTGCAACAGTATTTACTACTGTAATGTAAACAATAATGCTCCTTTTATAAAGGAGGACATGATTGAGACTCCTTTGAACAACCGGACTTTTTACTTTAGAAGAACAGACCCTTTCATGTTGTACACAAACTATTTGAACTTTGTAATGCGATACCATCATTTCACGCCTAAGGAAATTTTATACATGCACTTTTTAAACCTGATTGGAATTTTAAGTAATTTTTGAGAACTCCTATTCATAAGTGTGCACGACAAAACTTCTTTTTTATTACATCTTTCACCATTTCGACAGAACATTATGCGTTTAAACTACGCATGTAATCATTTTTTAATTCGAGCAGATAACGAGAGCAAGGCATACGTATCTTCTTTGCACCTACCAGGATATTACAACGGTAAAAAAAAAAAAAAGAAGTTATACAGGTAAATGTATGTAACCCTGATTAAAGAAATAATTAGCAAATCCTTATACTTACACATTTCTTTTCTTTTTTCTTAGCTATTGAGTTAGCCTTTGATGACAATTCCAGCATCGCCGACCTATTCCGCAATCTGATAGAATGTATGTTTTAAATTTTAAAGTGAGAAAATACAATAGTATGCAAGTATCGAGAAAAAGGAAAAGATAATTTCTGTTCCGTTCTAACTAAGTGACAGTACGCATTTTTATATATGACCAGATGGTTAACACAAATTTCTCCAAAATGCAGGCATACGGGGGTGTATTTCCTCACGGAAGGAGAAAAGGCCTTCAAGGATTAAATACCAATTCGTTCACGAAGAGTTAAGAATAGCAAAGTGTGACATGTGTAAGGGAACCTACATATACATTAATAGTAATATTAAAGCGACTTAAGACTGGACAAATAATTAGACATATATAAATATACCAATAAATGTGCTCCATTCAGCCTCACTTTTCTTGTTTCTGTTGCAATGAAACGTGGTCGTTGCCACATCCTTTTTCTTTTTGTTCTCTTTAGAGAAGAATGCGGAAAACCCATCCATGCTACAAAAATATTACAATTACGTCGCAAAGGTTGTCAAAATAGATAAAGTGAGCACGCTAATACGAAATGTGAACATTTACGAGGATTATGATAACTTTTTGACTAACGATATTAGTTGGTACACGTTTTTATTGCTCTTTAGACTTACTTCCTACAAAGGTAATCATAAAAAGAGAAAGATAGAAAAATGCGCAAAATGGAAAACGGGAACATGTTCCTGTGATTGATAGCAAATATAGACAGCGCTATGAAGAGGCGGAAAAGAACCACTGTTTCGTCACAATTGGAAGAATAGATTAATGAATGCATTAGTTCTTTCTTATCTGTACGAATCACCCTGCTGTAATGACAAATATATTAACTTACCATGCAGGCATTGTCAGTAACAACGTAGCGGAAGCCATGTATTTGAGTTTAAAAAAGAATGACAGCTTTCACCGAACAGTCACCACTAGCTACTGGTTTCCTTCCGCTTTGAAAAAAGCTTATACTTTATATGTCAGGAGAAATATACCTGTGAGCTTAGTAGAAAGTATGTATGGAAACAGGCTGACCATTCGTCTTGTCTATTTGCCCATGGCGTAGATTTCAAGGGACATGCATTTTTCTTTATGTATATGAGTTTATGCTTACGCATGCATGTGCATTAGCTTACATGCGAACCTCCACAAACGCACCTCGCTGCGTCCCCCACCACATTGCAGAACTAGAAAATATGCTAAGTAGAAGCTCCATAGAGAAAATGAAGAGAAGCATCCGATTCATGGTGCACGTGAATTCTTACTTGCAAGTGGACTTTTTTAGCTACCTTAATGAACCCCCAATTGGGGAGTTGCGTCCCTCCGCATTGTCCATAATGATTGAGCATAAATTTAAGGAATGGTACGATAATTCTCAGATTGGTTATTTCTTCCTAAATTACGATAACGAATATGCTAGAAAGCGCATGAGGGACAATATGAAGTCGGGAAATTTTGTAGCCCCGAAATATCAGAAATGGAATTTAGTACTAAGAAGATATGTAATGAAAGCATACGAATCGTATTTCGAACAAAGGAACGTAAAAAATTTATTCAAGTATTATAATTTTTACAACATTAGTAAAAGAATTTTGCTAATGAAGGATTGCTATGAATTATATTCAAAGCATTATGAGGACATTATTTTTCTGGCGGATATATTTAATATAAGAAAATACTTATCGTCTACCCCTCGTAGAAAATTCCTAATAGATAGAGCGTTGTATTATATGCATTCGATTGCGGGGAATTCTTTAAATTTTTATAGGTATGGCATCATATACGGGTTCACAATGAATGAAAAATGTTTTATAGAGATTGTGGATGAATTATTTGGGATATATAAGGCAAACAGGAACATTTTCTCGGACATATCCTTTTTGCAAGCGGTCTATTTTCTGTTTAGAAAAGTTGAGAACAGCTTCAGCATCCAGAGGAGAAACGACGAAATGGTTGGAAAAAAATACATGAAAATATTTGCGCCATGAAATGTTGCGTAAACCTTTATAATTGGGAGTTCTTATCTGATGGATATGATTTATCTCTTCAATTATTCCGCGTTTTTTGTGTTTTCCCTTTTCTCCACGTTTTCGATGTTTTCGGCCCTTCATACTTGTGGCACACTTTGCGCGTCTTACTTCTATGAGGATGTGCTTGCCAAAATATTCCCTCTTCCCTTTTTTTATCCTTTCTCAGAGCTTAAGCAACATCTTTTTCTTTAATGTATCAGAAAGTTACTCAAAAATGAGCAAAGAACAGAGGGAAGAAGAAATACACAATTCCATGTCGTCAAAATTCTTCGCAAAGACG